TGGTCTTAAGGGCCTGTCTCTGCCCCTGTACCCCGCACAGGTGCCAAGCAGGGAAATAGACAAGGCTGAAGGCAAGTTCTGGACTCACTGGAACCGGGAAACCAAGCAAGTGAGTCACTCCATGTCCACGTAGTTCCCCATCCTTCTCCCAACCCAAGGCCCCTGGGACCCTGCTCAGTTCCTCTTGTCTGTCCAGTTTTTTCTCCAGTTCCACTTCAAGATGGAGAAGCCGCCAGCCCCACCAAGCCTTCCTGCTGGGCCTCCTGGGGTAAAACGGCCCCCACCCCCACTGATGAACGGCCTGCCCCCTCGCCCACCACTACCAGAATCGCTGCCCCCGCCCCCACCAGGAGGCCTGCCCCTGCCACCCATGCCGCCCAGCGGGCCTGCACCCTCAGGACCCCCAGGCCCTCCTCAGCTGCCCCCACCGGCTCCTGGGGTCCACCCACCGGCACCAGTGGTCCACCCACCAGCCTCTGGGGTGCATCCCCCTGCTCCTGGAGTCCATCCTCCAGCTCCTGGGGTCCACCCCCCAGCACCAGTGGTTCACCCACCAGCATCTGGGGTCCACCCCCCTGCTCCAGGGGTCCACCCCCCAGCCCCGGGAGTCCACCCTCCTGCTCCAGGAGTCCACCCTCCAGCCCCAGGGGTCCATCCTCCCCCATCTGCTGGCGTTCACCCCCAGGCACCAGTGGTGCACCCACCAGCTCCTGCAGTTCACCCCCAGGCTCCGGGGGTGCACCCAACTCCTGCAGTTCACCCCCAGGCTCCAGGAGTCCACCCACCAGCCCCAGGGGTCCACCCACCAGCCCCTGGGATCCACCCCCAGCCTCCTGGGGTCCACCCCCCTCCTCCTGGGGTCCATCCGGCCCCTGGGGTCCATCCCCAGCCGCCTGGGGTTCACCCCTCAAATCCTGGGGTGCACCCCCCAACGCCCATGCCCCCGATGCTGAGGCCCCCACTGCCCTCCGAAGGCCCTGGGAACATTCCTCCCCCTCCCCCCACCAACTGAAAAGCCATCCTAACAAGTCTGGTTTGGTTTTCCTGGGTTTTGCCCTCAGAGTAGAGTTTTTTTGTACTGGGCTGGGTATCCCCAGAGCTCATTAAAGAGTCTGCTGACCATGAACTGGACTGCTGTGTCAACCTGTGGGCTGTCAGCATCTGCTTGCTGTGGGTGAACACATGTGGCTGCTTTCCACCACCATAGGGGGTGTCAGGGTCCCATCTGAACCCCAGGGGTGGCCTCTGGTGTCTCTGTGCCCTGGAGACCCTTGGGCAAGGACAGACCCTGCGGGCCAGCAGAGTGTGGTGTGGTTCTCTGGGAAGACAGCAGAGTGAAGAAGGCTGCTCACTCCCCTTGGGGGTCTCTGTGATCCTCAGAGGCAGGGTGAGCAGGCACGTGGGGTCACGGGGCCAGATCTGCCTACCCATTGTGAAGTGTCATCCCCCTTGGGGCTGGCACCCGAATCCTCCTGGGGCAGGGGCTCCACACCTCGCCCTCCCACACCCCTAGGTTGTTGATAGTCTGGCTGTCTGGGCCATGCACTCCTGCTCACATTCCTGCTCTGGGGAGGGGGAAGATTTGTCAAGGACAGTCTGACAAATGGATCACAAGCCATACACACCGTATCACTGCCCAGGAGATAGGCAGGCAGGTTGGAACAGAGGGGGCTTTGAGAAGGCCACAGGCCTCCCAGGCTCGCGGCAGGCACCGGCCTTCAAGGTCACATCCCAGGAGGAGATAGGGACCGCCCTGCAGCACAAACAGCCCTCCTCCTCATAAAGTACAGCAGCCCAGCCCCTGGAAGCTCCCAGGATGCCCAGTCCATCTCTCTCTCTGGCCCTGGTGCTGTCAGCCATGGGGTCTCTGCTGAGGCCAGGCACCCCCAGGAAAGAGGTCTCCAGCACCTCGGCCTCGCCCAGGGAGCAGGCCACAGGCAGCGGGGCACTCATCTTTCAGCAAGATTGGGACTGGCCGCTCCCCAGTCTCTGGCTGCCAGGCAGCCCTCAGGACCCCCTGTGCCTGGTGACCCTGAATGGGGGGGGCAATGGGAGCAGGGCCCCACTGCGGGTGGTGGGGGCCCTGAGCGGCTACGAGCAGGCCTTCCTGGAGGCTGTGCGGCGCACCCACTGGGGCCTGAGTGACTTGACCACCTTTGCTGTGTGCCCCACTGGCGACGGGCAGCCTGCGCTGCCCCACCTGCAGCAGCTGCAGGCGTGGCTGGGGGAGCCAGGGGGGCGGTGGCTGGTGGTCCTGCACCTGGAGGAAGGTATGTGTCATGTCGGGACTGGGGTGGGACGCCAGGCTCTCGTGCCCTCCTCCCAAGACCAGGGGATTGCAGAGCCCCCAGCCCAGACCCATCCCCAGTCTCAGGAAGTGGAGGCTAACAGCCAGAGAGGTGGGTCCCTGTATCTTTGCCTGTCTGGGGCCAGAAGTTCTCCAGCTCCCAGCCACCCCTCTCCCCATGCAGTGCCTGGCGGAGGGGGGTGTGGGGCTAACACCTTGTTCACCTACCTGGGAGCTACACGGTTGGGGGTGGAGGAAGGAGGCAGGTCAGTGCAGCCTGATTGTCCAGCAGAGGAGTGCCTCTCCATACTGGGTAGCAAGAGGTTCCTGTTCCAAGGGCCACTGTCCTCAGACCCACTACCAGGAATCCCCCAGGAGCTCTCTAGGCCTAGAGCCCCCAAGGGCTCAGGAGACACAGGTGGCAGCTGCACCTCCCTATCCATCACTTTTAGGCCACTCCTGTCCTAGGGAAGCCAGGAGCCAGCGTCAAACCTCTCCCACCAGGTTCCCCCAGGCTTCGGTTGGGGTGGGGTCTCCCTCCTATGGAGGGGACAGGTTTGGGGGAGGGGCTCAGGCTTCCGTGGCTCAGGTGTCTGTCTCCCTTCTTCCCTTGTCCTGGCTGCAGTGACGTGGGAGCCGACACCCTTGCTGAGGTTCCAGGAGCCTCCGCCTGGAGGAGCCAGCCCCCCAGAGCTGGCGCTGCTGGTGTTGTACCCAGGGCCTGGCCTGGAGGTCACTGTCACCGGCGCTGGGCTACCTGGTGCCCAGGTACCAGGGAGTGGAATGTGGCTCTCTCTGGCCCCCAGGACAACCCCCCCACACTCCCCACCCCCCGCCACCCCCCTGCCACAGAGCAAGGGAAGGATTATGGGTTTGGGTTTGTGTTGTTTTTAACTTGGCCTCACAGAAAGGCCACAAGTGTTCAGGCTAGACCTTGAAGGGATGTTAAGGGCAGCAGGCAGAGCAGGGTTGGCATACATACCCCGCCCCTCAACCTGGCTGATCCCCCGTGTTCGCCCGCAGAGCCTCTGCCTGACCGCGGACTCAGACTTCCTGGCTTTGGTTGTGGACCAGCCGGAGGGGGCCTGGCGCCGGCCTGGGCTAGCCCTGACCCTGCGGCGCCGTGGAAATGGTAGGCCTTGTCTGGACAGGGACCCGACCGGGTGGCTGCCCTCGACCCGCAGACCCCACCCCACCCCCAGCCGCTGAACTGCACGGCGCACGCGCCTCCCCTCAGGTGCGCCCCTGAGCACTGCCCAGCTGCAGGCGATGATGTTCGGTGCGGACTCCCGCTGCTTCACACGAAAGACCCCGGCCCTGTTGCTCTTGCTGCCGGCGCGGCCGTCGGCGCCGGCACGGCCGTCAGCGCCGATGCCCGCGCACGGTCGGCTGGACTTGGTGCCGTTCCCGCAGCCCAGGTGCGCGCAGGCCCAGACCTGGGGATGCGGGAAGTGTGGGCGCCGCAGCCTTGCGCCCTCACGACCCCCGACTCTGCTGTCCAGGCCTTCCCCGGAACCAGAGGAGGCACAGCCCAGCGCTGATCCCTTCCTGGAGACGCTCACGCGCCTAGTGCGCGCGCTGCGGGGACCCCCGGCCCGAGCCTTGCCACCACGACTGGCCTTGGACCCGGGCGCACTGGCTGGTTTCCCGCAGGGCCAGGTCAACCTGTCGGACCCAGCGGCCCTGGAGCGCCTACTGGATGGTGAGGAGCCGCTGCTGCTGCTGCTGCCGCCAACGGCAGCCAACACCGGGGTCCCCGCAACGCCGCAAGGTCCCAAGTCCCCTCTGTGGGCCGCGGGACTAGCTCGCCGGGTGGCTGCCGAGCTTCAGGCGGCGGCCGCCGAGCTGCGCGACCTCCCGGGGCTGCCTCCCGCCGCCCCCCCGCTGCTGGCGCGCCTGCTGGCACTGTGCCCGGGAAACCCAGATGGCCCCGGCGGCCCGCTGCGCGCGCTGCTGCTGCTCAAGGCGCTGCAGGGCCTGCGCGCTGAGTGGCGCGGGCGGGAGCGGAGCGGCTCTGCACGAGCGCAGCGCAGCGCCGGGGCCGCGGCTGCAGACGGGCCGTGCGCTCTGCGTGAGCTGAGCGTAGACCTGCGGGCCGAGCGCTCGGTGCTCATCCCGGAGACATATCAGGCCAACAACTGCCAGGGCGCCTGCGGCTGGCCTCAGTCGGACCGCAACCCGCGCTACGGCAACCACGTGGTGCTGCTGCTGAAGATGCAGGCCCGCGGTGCCGCCCTGGCGCGCCCGCCCTGCTGTGTGCCCACAGCCTACACCGGCAAGCTCCTCATCAGCCTGTCCGAGGAGCGCATCAGCGCGCACCACGTCCCGAACATGGTGGCCACCGAGTGCGGCTGCCGGTGACCTCGCGCCGTGCTCCTTGTGCCGCCCCGGCCCATATTTATTCGGACCCCGTCATCGCCCCAATAAAGACGGGAAGGCACGCGGTTGGGGTGCCTGTGCATGTTTGGGGACAGGCGGAGGCCTCCTTCCCGCAGTTCTCCCAGTCTTCACCCGCTGCCCCCTTGCCCCTCCGTCCTCCCTCCACCCCCCACCCAAAGCTTCTTATCCGCCTCTCGCAGGCCCCGGGCAGGTTCTGGGGTCCTGGTGCGAAGGAACAGACGATGAGGGGGCCGCAGCACTTGCTTTATTTAGCTGGAACCGCGGGGCCCTAGAGCAGATATTCAGAAACTCACGCGCACGACCCCGGTCTCGCTCAGTCCCGGCCTTTGCCGGCACGGCGCTTCTGGCGGCCCGGAGGCCGGTCCTCCTTGTCGGGGCGCCGCGGGGAGACCCAGGCCTGCCTCTTCCTATCCTCGGGGGCTCCAGAGTCTTGCCCCCAAGGTCGATGGCCCCCTTCACGGGCCTCCCAGCGTCGCGGTAGGGCTCTGCGGGGCTCCCTGGCACCACGTGGCTTCTCTTTTCGTGGCCTCTCCTTCCAGGGCCTCTCCTTCCAGGGCCTCTCCTTCTTCACCCTCTCCTTGGGCCCTCGGCCTGCGAGGGGCGCATGCTCCTCATCAGCGGCTTCTCCAGACTCCCATTCGTCCTTCTCTGCAGCCTCTCCGCTCCTAGGAATCTGGACCCTTTCCTCTACCTTCGAGGGGGGCTCAGGCTGCCTCACTAGGGGGGCCCAGGCCTCAGGCTTTGGCTGTTATGCAGACAAGTGCAGGGTGGTGGGATCAGCCACAATTCCATGGCTCAAGCCCCTCCCCCCAGTGAGGAGCCCACTGAGGAAGAGCTTACCAGGGGTGACGCTGGCCCCTTGGGTGACGAGCTTGATGAGACCCACAACTCAGGGACAGGTGCAGGGGCTTCTGCATCCCCAGCCACAGTCTCTGGGAGGGGACAAGAGGGGATGCGAGTCAGCCTGGGGCAAGAGTCGGGAGTGAGAACCACAGCACACCATCCATCCCCTAGAGTCCCCTCTCCTGGGGACAGGCAAGGGGACCCAGCCGTCTCCACCCGGGTTCACTGAGGCTGGGCTGGCTCCCTTCCAGCCCCAGGAAGGGGTTCCAAGTCTCCACTGCTGCTTCTCTTCAAACCTCCCTCATTCAGAGCGTGCCAGGATGCTCCCGTTTCTCTGAGGGCCATGGGAGCACCGAGACACACAGAAGCCACACTCTGAAACGGGGGTGCACATGGCCCTTCCTGGGCATGCGAGGCCCAGGGTGTGGGGTGGTGAGGGCCGGTTCACTGGGGAGGCAGGTGCATCAAGGTCCCTACTGGGGTGGGGGAGGAGGCAGTTCCCCGTAAGGTCTGTTGGAAAGGGGGGTTGGAAGGGTCTCAGAGCCGGTCCTGGATAGAGGGACTCCAACGGGACCATGGGGGTGCACAAGGTCCGCTGCCCAGCAAGAAGTGCAGGGGGCCGCCAGGAACCCCTCACAAGATCCAGGGGGCGCGCGAACCGCCTAGGGTGCGAGCGCACAGACCCGCCCCGTGGCATGTCCGTGCTTCCGGGAAGGAGTGGCCAAGTGTGAGGCTCACCGCGGCACAGCTGGAAGGCGGAGCCCAGCAGCGCCACTAGCGAGGCCAGCACCAGGCACTTGTTGAGCGTCAAGTCTCCCCAGGGCAGCTGCTCGCTCAGGGCCGGGGGCGGCGGCGGCGGCGGCGGCTGCTGGGGCGGTGCGGTCTGCGCCTTCTTCCGTGCGGGGCTCCGGGGGGCTGCAGGAGCAAGTGCTGGCTGGGATCTAGGGCAGCGAGGGGCAGACCTGCGGCTAAAGTCAGCTCTGCTCTGCCCAGCTGTGCGGCCCTAGGCTGAGAAACTAAGCCCTGCCGGCTTGGCAGCTTCACTGGGATGCAGGGAATTTTCCAGAAGATAATTAGCTGAAGCTTAGTGGCAGCTAAGCTGGTGTTATCATGAATTAGAGGAGACTCACAGCCCTTTCAGTTACAGCCAGGAAACCACTCAGTCAGGAGCCCCATGTGGCTATCTTCCTGCTGCCCAGATCCAAGGACCCAGCCTCCCCTCCCATGCTGGTCCATACCCATCCCCCCACCTCACCCCTGCCTCCTGCAAACCCACTTGCTCCTGCTTTCAGCCTCTCCTTCCCGGTTCCTGAGGTCACTTTGGACACAGGCTCCTTTTCTGTCTTCTTGGGCTTGGTGTCCACACTGCCTGTGGGGCTGCCCTCAGTCACTCGCTCCTGAGAATCCTGTGGGGACATGTGTCATCCTGGGTGTTCCCTCTAAGGGAGACCAAGCCTTCCCAGGGGCTGCAGAAACCCACCCTCTTAAGCCAGCACCTCCCCTACTCCAGGAGCACCTTGGGCTGAAAGCCAGAAGGAAGACCACCACCACCCCCCCCCCCGCCCCCCGCTACTCACGTGGGACTGGCTGCTGGAGTCAGCCAACCTGGATGTAGCTGTTGGTGGAAAAAGAGGGGAGAGTCAAAGTCGTGGGGACCCCCAGATCCCACTTTCTGTTGGGTCCTGCTGGGTGAGAGGCTGGGGACAGGAGAGCTCCCAGTTTACAGGTTAAAAAGTAGACAGACTCAGAGACAGCCTTGCACAAAAGCACACAGCAGGTCACTGGCAAGCCAGGATCCAAACCCTGACCTGTGTGGTCCAGCACCTGTGTTTTCTGGGATCTTTACAACCGCCCTCCCCACCACCCGGGACACTAATGGGCACAGAGGTTGGAAACAAGGAGCATGGTTTAAGCCAGTCCAGTGTGGAAGTCCAAGTCCTGGTTTCTGAAGGTGGGCCACCGGACTCAGAAGGAGGATGGGGGCATGGGCTTCCTCCCCCAGCACCTTCTCTGGTACCTTGCGCACTGTCCTCCTGGGGCCGGCCAGGACAAGGGTCAGCCAGTGCAGAGAGGTCCTCATCCATTTGGCAGCTGCCCAGGCCTCCGTCCAGCTCCTCCAAGGCTCTGGTTGCCATGGGGACCGCTGAGAGCCGCAGGCCCAGAGTCAGGCTAAGGGCAAGGCGGAAGAGGCAGCCTGAGCCCCTGCTATGGGCTTGCCTCTTGGAGAAGGGAGCTCTTTGTCTCTCCATACCACCACCCTGGCTGGATAGGCTAGCCTCTATGGGCTCCAATATCCCTCTGCACACAGCGGAGAACGCGGGAGCCCAGAGCAGGCTGGGTCCTGCCCATGGTCACACAGAGGTGAGCACAGAGCCCAAACCGGAACCCTTGGCCCCAGGGTCAGCTCATGTTCTCTGAGACCAGGGACTATTTTTATCCGGTGCCCAAGGCCAGCAGGGCAGGCCGGCTAGGGGCCCAGCCCCTCCTAGGCCTTGCCCCCCTGGGGTCTCCCTCTGGGTCATCCTTACCCTTCATTCCTGGCACCTAGCCTCCTTCAGGACCCCATGGGTGTTGGCACTCAAACCCCAGCAGCTAGGACCAGCCTGACTCTGGCCATGACAGGCAGGGGAAGGGGGTGCCAGGCCTCCCACCCCCAACCCTGGGGTCCCTGCCTCTCCCTGCTTCCTCTATGCTGCCTCTGATCCCATAGGGCAGATGAAGAAACAAGCTGAAGGTGGAGCTGTGGGCCAGAGGTTGTGCAGAACTGGAGCCAAACCCCATCTGTTGGCTCCCACAGCCCTGTTTTTTGGAATCCCCGGTGTCCCTGGCATCAGTGTCAGTGTGACCCATCCCTGTGCAGAAAGGGGACCCTTTCCTGAGACCAGAGTAGTCGGTGGGGGAGGAGACCTATGGCTGGGGAGTGCCTCTAGGGGTGCGTGGGGGCAGCCACAGGAGTCAGGGACACCCCTGTGGACCTCAGGGGTGCCCTCCCATGTCCTGGGGACCCCCCCACCTCTTCCCAGGCCTCCTTGTGCCCCTCTTACCCACAGTCGCCACGCTGGGCCTGGTAGACAGCATGGAGCGCGGAGAGGGTGGCCCCAGACAGACAGCAGCAGGTGGCTGGAGGCCGTATTGTGGGCCAATCAGCTCCTCGGCCTGCTGTGGGAGGGGGAGGAGGGCCGGCCTGAGGTCCCTGGGGGGAGCACACCCTTGCCTCAGAGCAGGGCCAGGCATTGGTGGAGGGGTTGCCCCCCCCCCATCAACATAGAACCATTGCCAGGCCTGCCACAGTGACCCTGGGAGCATTGCTTTCTGTCTCTCAGCCTTGGAAAAGAGGGTCACGGGGGGGTGAGAGCACCCACAAAGCATGGTTACCTCGCCTTTATAAGCAGCAGCTAAAGGATCGCAGTCCTGTGGAGTCGGGGGCCATCAGGGAGGGCTTCCTGGAGGAGGATGGCACCATCAAAGGGAATCCAGGCTCTACCCACTGGCTCAGGCCAGGCTCAGCTCAGAGGCCTCGGTTTCCTCATCTGGAAAGTGGGGTCATTTCCTCCTGGTGGGCAACGAGGTGAGAATAAGTTTATCTGGGTTAAACAACACTCGAATGTGAGCTGCTTTTTTTTCCCCCTAATTGAAGTATACTTGGTTTACAGTGTTGTATTATTTCTGCTGCACAGTTGTACGGCAAATTAACTCAGTTATACATAGATAAACTCTTTTCCACATTATTCTTCATTATGGTTTATCACAGGATATTAAATATAGTTCCTTGTGCTGTACAGTGGGAGCTTGCTGTTTATCCTATATATAATAGTTTGCATCTGCTTATCCCAAACTCTCAATCCTTCCCTCCCCTACTCCCCCTCCCCCTTGGCAACCACAAGTCTTTTCTCTGTCTGTGAGTCTGTTTCATAGGTATGTTCATTTGTGTCATATTTTAGATTCCACATATAAGTAATATCATATGGTATCTGTCTTTGTCTTTCTGACTTTGAGTGAGTGATAGTTGCTCAGTCATGCCTGACTCTTTGCAACCACATGGAGACTTATTTTGCTTAGTGTGATAATCTCTAGGTCCATCTATGTTACTGCAAATGACATTATTTCATTCTTTATTTTGACTAATATTCCATGGTATATGTACCATACTGTATATGAATATACAATATGTATATGTATATATTGAATGTGGTATATACCATATCTTTATCCATTCCTCTGTTAATGAACACTTAGATTGTTTCCATGTCTTGGTTATTGTGAACAGAGCTGCTATGAACACCGGGGTGCATGCATCTTTTTGATTTAGAGTTTTGCCTGGATATATGCCCAGAAGTGGGATGGCTGGATCATATGGGCTTCCTAGGAGTTGGTGATGGACAGCAAAGCCTGGCTTGCTGCAGTCCATGGGGTCGCAAAGAGTCAGACACGACTGAGCAACTAAACTGAACTGAACTAATGGGCTTCCTAAGGAAACTGCCTGCAATGCAGGAAGACCTGGGTTCCATCTCTGGTCGGGAAGATCTCCTGGAGAAGAAAATGGCAACCCACTTCAGTATTCTTGCCCGGAGAATTCTATGGACAGAGGAGCCTGGCAGGCTACAGTCCATGGGGATGCAAAGAGTTGGTGGGGGCCAGGGGCTAGAGAGTCACACATGACTGAGTGACTAATGCACACACGGCAGCTCTACATCCCACCTGGTCACATTTCCACGTTTGTTTAGTCAATCACTGAACACATACCACTCAGTCCAGCCAATCAGTAAAGGAAACCAACTTTGTCATTAAAAAAAATGAATTTATTTATTTATTTTGGCTCTACTGTGTCTTCATTCCTGTCTTACTGTGTGGGCTTTTCTGTAGTTGCGGTGAGCAGGGGCTACCCTCCTGTTGCAGAGCACAAGCTCTAGGGCACACAGAACTCAGGAGTTGTGGCACACGGGCTCAGAGGTTGAAGGTCCTAGGCTCTAGAGCACCAGGCTCAATAGTTGTGGTGCATGGACTTAGTTGCTGTGCAGCATGTGGAATCTTCCTGGACCAGGGATCGAACCTATGTCCCCTGCATTGGCAGGCAGATTCCCATCCACTCTACCACCAGGGAAGCCACCATCTTAACCATTTTTAAGTGACACTTGTACATTCACATTCTTGGGCAACCACCCCCACCATCCATCTCCAGAACTTTCTCATCTTCCCAAACTGAAATGCTGCCCTATTTAAGACTAACTCTCTAGCCCCTGGCCCCCACCAACTACTTCTTATTTCTATGGATCTGACTAGGGTTAAAACATACTATTTTGCACATTTTATAAGCCCCTTACAAGCATACATTTCTATTTGTACCTCCCATTCTCCATATACTGTTGTTTTACTTCCAAAATGATGTAAATCAATCTCAGGATTTTCCCGGTGGTCCAGTATTTAGATTCCACACTTCCACTGCAGGGGAGACGAGTTTGATCCCTGGTCAGGGAACTAAGATCCCACATGCTATGTGGCCAAAAAAAACCCCAAAACAGTTAGAATAGACTTCATTCTACAATGAAGTACAAAACTTCTGAGGTCCCTACTGGATGCCCCACATATTCAATAGATTAATTGCACCTTTTAAAAAAGTAATTATTTTCATTTGGCTGCGCTGGGTCTTAGTTGCAGTATGTGGGACCTAGTTCCCTGGCCAGGGATCAAACCTGGGTCCCCTGCATTGGGAGCACAGAGACTTAGCCACCAGACCATCAGAGAAATCCCTCTCTTCACCTTTGCCGGCAGGTTCTCCGAGCAGTCCCACAGTAGACGAGCTGGCAGGGATTGCTCTTTTCCCAGCCTTGTTCTTTGTCCGGCCTCCTGAAGTTTCACTACCTGCACTTATAGCTGGATATTCAAAGACCTGAGGGCACCCCTGTGAAAATTTAAGAGCAGTTTCTTAAAATAGTTCCCTGTTCTTCAGCACACTATCCTCCAGATTCCAGCTGCCTTGACCTCTGCCACCTCCCATCTCTGTTTCCTCAGACTCTGAAAACTCTGTGTTCTGTTTGGGTTTCCCCTCCCTGACCTACAGCCAGGAAATCACCTACAGGCAGAATTCTGGGGCAACTCTAGGGCTCATCCTGTTTGTTTCCCTCCTCTCTCCACTGCCTATTGTATGGTATCTGAAAACCAGTGTTTTATACATTTTGTCCAGTTCCCTAGTTGTTTAGAGTAGAAGGGCAATTCCCATAGCAATAACTTACCAACTACATTTATTTTAAATAGCTGGTCAGGAATCCATTGTATGGTTATGCCAGAACCTATTTATCCAGTTTTCAGTTCTCCCTTGTATATTTGTTTAACCTATGATGTTACTTAAGCTGGGGCTTTCCAGGTGGTGTAGTGGTAAAGAATCTGCCTGCCAAGGCAGGAGACATGAGTTCAATCCCTGGGTTGGGAAGATCCCCTGGAGTAGGAAATGGCAACCCATTCCAGTATTCCTGCTTGGATAAATCCATGAACAGAGGAGCTTGGTGGACTGCAGTCCATGGGATTGCAAAGGGTTGGACATGACTGAGCAACTGTGCATGTACATTAATCTTTCATCATAGGTTAATTCTGGCACCTCATAGCATGCAGGATCCTCATTCTTTGAGCAGGGATTGAACATGGAGCCCCAACCATTGGACTGCCAGGGAAGTCCCTGCCATAAATTAATTTTGCATGCAACTGGACATCATATCAGTAGAACCACGCTGTGTACACTCTTTTATGTTTGGCTTATTATGTTCAACATTGTGTCTGTGTACTTCACCTATTTTGTTCTCTGTTAGTACTTTGTTCTTTTCCTTGCTGCATAGTTATACCAGAGATTTATGTATCCATTTTCTGTTGATAGATATTTGGATCCTTTTGAGTTTTTGGCTAACACAAATACAGTTACTGTGAACATTCTTGTTCCAGTCTTTGGTGGATGTATTTATGCTTTCCTGTTGGGAACAGTGGTGGAATTGTTGGGTTAAAGGTCATACATACATTAGCTTTAAAATATACAGCCACAATTTTTTAAAGTTTAGGCCACACCCTGCGATGTGTGGGACCTTAGTTCTCAGACCAGGGATGCAACACGTGTTCCCTGCAGTGGAAGCATGGAGTCCTAACCACTGGACTGCCAGGGAAGCCCCTGTCAGTGTGGTTTAACTTTACTTTTCCTTTATGACTGAGATAGGGCATCCTGTTGGCCATGTGTATCTCTTCTTTTGTGAAGTGCATATTCACAACTTGTGCCATATTTTAACTGGGTTGTCTTTTTCTTCACAATTTGTAGGAATTTTTGTTTGGTTCTGCTTTGTTTTCTGTTTAACTAACTATATTGTGGATATAAATCTTCTGTCCAATGTATGTATTACAAATATCTTATCCCAGTTTGTGGCTTGCTTTTTTATTTTCTTCATGGTGGATTCTGGTGGGCAGGAACCAAGTGTATCTCATTCACTTGCCAGGCCTGGGACACAGTAGGCACTCAATAAATGTCAGTTGAACGAGTGAACGGGGCTTCCTTGGTGGTTCAGATGGTAAAGAATCTGCCTACAATGAGGGAAACCGCCAATCGATCCTCGGGTTGGGAAGATCCCCTAGAGGAGGGCATGGCAACCCACTCCAGTATTCTTGCCTGGGAAACCTCAAGGACAGACAAGCCTGGCGGGCTACAGCCCATCGGGTCACAAAGAGTCGTACACGACTGAGCAACTAAGCACAGCACAGAACGAGTGAATGGGTTGAAGTCCTATCCCTGGATCTCAGTTTCTCCACGTGGGCACGTTAATTCCTGTTATTGTTCACTCACTCAATCTGGTCCAACTCTTTGTGTCCCTATGGACAGCAGTATGCCAAGCTTCCCTGTCCTTCATCATCTCCCAGAGTTTGCTCAGTCACGTCCATTGAGTTGATGATGCCATCCAACCGTTTCATGCTTCATTGCCCTTCTCCTCCCGCCTTCAGTCTTTCTGCCCATATCATATACTCCCCATATCACAGAATTTTGTGACACGTGCAGGACAGACGAGACCGGTCCGCCGCAGAGCGGGATTTGGAGGTTCTCTGACAACTTCAGCTTTTATTTTATTTTTTTTTTTAACTTCAGCTTTTAGAATCAGAAAGGGCGGAGCTAGGTTCGTCTCAAGGAACCTCTTCCAGAAGCTCCACGTGGGCGCCCCGCCCACAGCAGGTCCCGCCCAAACCTGTCACATAGTTGAGGGGCGGGGCAAGAAGGCGCGCATAGAGGGCGTGGTAACATTCCGGAACGGGAAAGTAGGTGGAGTTCCGGAGGTCACTGACCTATGAGGGGGAAGAGCGCTGACACGCAGGGGGCGTGACTGAGCCGCCCGGAGGTCGTTGTCTGCTTTTTCATTGGGAGGCCTGGCGTCGTCAGGGAAACGCGGCGTCTAGGAGTGAAGGGGCAGGGCCTATAGGGAGGCGGGGCTTCCGGGGGCGGGCCGCCGGGCCGGGCCTCCCGCCGTCAGCTGACCGGCCGCCATCTTGTCCGCCATTTGCAATCGGCGCGGCACGGAGCCGGAGTGGTGGGGAGCGCGGCCTGCCGAGCGGGTCGCTGCCGCCGCCGCCCCTCTAGCCGCCGCCGACCTGGCCTGGGAGTCCGCCCCGCCGCGGCGGCCGGCAGCACAGCGTTCCGCGGGCGGCAAGCGCGGCCCCTGGGCTCCCTCAGGGCGGTCGGCCGTGGGCCTCCCGGGGCTCGAGCCCGAAGGCGGCCGCCGCGATGGCCCTCAAAATGGTCAAGGGCAGCATCGACCGCATGTTCGACAAGAATCTGCAGGATCTGGTGCGCGGCATCCGCAACCACAAGGAGGACGAGGTGATCCCAGCGCGCCGTCCCTGGCCCTCGATCCGACTCTCGCCCTGACTCTGACCCAATCCGACCCGACCCGGTTCCCGGCTCTGCCCCTGACTCCGGCCCCCCGCCCGCCCCCGCGGCCCCGCTCCCGGCTGGAGCCCCGTCTGCTTGCGGCCTCGACCTCTGAACATCTGCGCGTTCCTTCTCCGAGCCTCAGTTTATTCTCTCGGAGTTGGGGGTCCTTCTCCCCGACGGTGGCTGGAAGAGACTTCTCAGGTCCCCACCCTCGCTAGCGGCGGATCTCCGATCTAGAATGTGTTTCTGTGTCTCTTGTTCAAAATGCAGAGCCCCCTGCCCCGCCCCAGGCCTTGGACTCCTTGTTGGGGGACCCTCCTCTTCTGCGGGCCGCCCCCGGAGGAAACCCCTTCTGGGATAAACGCACGTCCAGGTTGCTCCCCGGTGTCTGGTCAGGATTTGGCCTTGCCTCCTGGGCTTGAGTCCCCCGGAAGGTGGGGCCGCCCCTCTTAGTGGGTAAGGGGTGGGGCAGCCGACGTTCTAGGCCAAAATAAGGAAGCGGCTCAGGAGTCCTGGAATAGGGAAGCAGACTTCAATTAGACACCCGAAAGCCAGAGGGGAAAAGGTTTTCCAGAAGTAATGTTGTAACAGTGGGCACCATTTTCTTCCCTTCCGCCACCCCTCAACCTGTGACCTAGATTGAGGAGGAATGGGGATAGTTAGTGACCACCAGATCGCTGGCTTCTGGGGAGGGAGACCCAAACCTGCACTTACACAATGGGAGGCTGGAGCAAGTCCCCTTTTCCTTGCCTGAGAGTGAGGCTCCCCGATGGAGAGCAGCTGTCGGACAGGTCCCACGACCAGGTGCCACCTGGCCGGCCCTCACTGCCCCGGGGAAGCCCAGCAGAGCCGAGAGGAAGGTGCAGGGACGTGAAGGAATTCGCTGGCAGGCACCAAGAGCCCTGGGCGCTGTCCTTCTGCGGAGAGCCTGAGTTCCTGCCTCTATTGAACTTTTTCAGAATGGGTGTGACCTCGCTGAAATGTACTTAGGTTATTTTGGTTCATTTGTGTAACTCTCACACCTTCCCTTCTTTGGCTACACTTAGGTTTTGCATCATGTTAGACGCTCTGGCCAGTTCCGCTGGTCACAAAAGTGGTGAACTCTTGGTCTGATCTTTAGTTTCTCTTTGAAAGAATAGCTGGTCGGCCTGCATTTCAGACCCCAGGGCACGGCGAAGCAAATATGCGGAAAGAGTTTGCGCCCTCAGATTTCTTTTTCTGCCCTGGTTGACCTGATGCCCCCTCTGGTAGTGGGTGTTATTGAGCAGTGTGTTGCGAGATTCTGAGGAGGGGCCGAGGGTCTTTGTTGTGGAGAAATGCATGTTCCAGTTAGGGCGTCTGCTTTTTAGGGTGCAAGCCTGTCATCAGGGGCAGTGCTGTGGGTCATGCTATGTTCACTCGGAATTGGTAGGAACTGATGGCTCGATCTCAGGCTTGAAGCCCATCATTTGGTTTTTTGATGGTGGTGGTGGCTGAGTTCCACGCAGATGCTGTCCAGGCCTGTGGGTGATTCCCACAGGATGCGGCTCAGGATTCGAGGGTCCCTCATCGGAACATCCGTGATCTGGTCGGTCATTACTGGCTCCAGATGTTGGGGAGCACAGCAGGCAGCTATGGGGTTACTCTTAGCTCCCAAATCACCCTCCATTACGAGGAAGACTGGGAGCAGTGTAGTTTTCCCTCAGAGTTTACTTTTTATAATAGATTGTAGCTTAAAACTCCTGTTGTGGCATCATAGAAGTGAGGCTTGGCAGTGACTTTTAAAAAAGCCAGATAGAAAGGCATCATGGTTTAGCATGTGATGTTTGTGAGACCCAAGTCCAGGTTCTTGGTCCTCTATGAGTGACCTGGGGAGAGTTCCCTAGTGTAAAGTGGGAGGGATGGCTACCTCCCCATCTTGTTGAGTGCCTATAACGCAGGCTTCTGTGAGCTCCCCAAAGAAGAATCCAGAAAGTCCGGACCCATGGCAGAGTAACTGAAACTTCTGCTTCTACATGTGATACTAAGCGTGTGCATGCCTGTGAGTGGGGTTACCATGGAAAACATGCTTTTTACAGTGAGTCAAAGAAGTTTGAAAAATAGTGGGCTGATTCCCATCTTTCTGTGGTGCTTGAGTTTCAGTCCTTAATATATAGCACCAGGTCATGTGGGCAGGTGAGGAAAGTCACTTGGGAGTGTCCTTGCTTCTGAAACTTGTGTATAACTAGGAAAAAACAAATGACTTTCAATGTTGAATCCTTATGAGTACTTTTCATATTTTGGGGAAAACCTTTTCTTTCAGTCTTTTTAAATTATATGCATAATTTCTTGTAATAAGCTAAGTGTTTATGAAAGTGAAAAGGTAAAATACTTCTTCCCAGAAATCAGTTTGAGAGTTTTTTCTCTGTAAATAGAACTTGAGGGCGATCCTGTCTGTTAAGGTTTTGTGCTGGTCTTCTCTGTTAGGGTGGCAGCCCTTCCTGAGTGCTGTCCATGCCCCCGAAGTGCTCCTGAGGACCAACCTTCTGAGTGTGGTTGCACGTGCTCCCCACAGCATTGAAGTGGGTTCCACTTGCTCTGCTCTGTGTCCCAGCTCACTCCATCAGGGGGCCCCTGGCAGTGTCTGTTTTTGTGTGGCGTCTGAGTTTGCGTCTAACTCACTCAACTGAAGTTTCTGAACTTGAAAAATTCAGTCCTGATTGTGTATAGTTGGTTGTGTGTATCCATGGGTTCTGCATTCACCAACTGTGGATTGAAAGTATATTTTTTAGAGAGTTCCAAGAAGCAAGACTTGAATTTGCTGCACACAGGCAACTATTTGAATACACAGCACTTGCATTGGGTCAGGTGTTGAAAGTTATCTCACAGTGAGTTAAGGTGAAAAGGAGGATGTGTGTACGTCATGTAGAAGTTCATTGTAAATGAGGGACTGGAGTGTCTGAAGATTCTGGTGTCTTTAGGGGTCTGAACCAGTCCTCTGCAACACCAAAGGTTAACTGTGGAGTGGTATTTTGAAATTGGGCATAATCTGGGATTAAGACTGAACTGTATGAAGTGCTGTTATTCTAGAGTCTGACCTCAGAAATGCAATTTCCTGGGGTTCAGTCCTTGCCAGGGTGTGTGGGACTCCTCGGGCCATGAGGTACGTGCAGGGCTGGCGCTCCTTGCCCTAGGGACAGTTACTGACGCACGTGTTGTGTCAGGCGTGGTGCTTTTGGTTTATTTCTGTAAGACTTTCTATTTTAAAAACTTCGGAGAAGACTAAAGATAGGAAATTTAGTAAAGAAGTTGTTATCTGAGTCAGGGTCTCTCCCCTTGGCACTGCTGACATCAGGCTGGGTCGTCCTTTGAGAGGGGCTGTCCTGGGCACTGTGGGGTTGAGCAGCATCTCTGGCCCCATCCGTGTGATGCCAGGCCACCCCCAGTCTCGACAATCGCAGTGTTCCCAGATACGCCCCAGCGTCCTCCAGGCGCGGGGTCCCCTGACCGTAGTCGGCAGGGACAGTTTCTCTGGATCCCTTCATGCTGGCCCTTCAGCCAGTCCTCCCTTGTCCCCCGTGCTGTCCCTGTGTGGTTGGGCCCCGTGTGACGTGAGGCAAGGCGGCCTGCGCCTGCGGCAGAGCTCCGGGAGCCTTTTTGGTTTCCTGAGCCACAGAGGTAACTGGAAGCATCTTGGTTGGGGTGTTCTTTCTCTGCCCCCCGGTTCCTGGCCCCAAGCTGCTGAGTCCCTTGGGGTTTCCTGGGAGATGGGGTGTCTTTTGTTCTGATGAGGTGACTCTTGGTGGGACTGGGGCCCCAGAAAGGCCAGGCCATGGTTTGAAGCTTGGAACTTTGACACGCCCCCTCCAGTCCTCTAGAGAAGGAGGAGGGGCTGCAGGTGGAGTTGATGATGGATCATGTATTTGTGATGAAGCCTCCATAAAAATCTCTGAAATGTGGGGTTCAGGGAGATTCTCGGTAGGTGAAAGCACCTGTGTGCCGGGGGTGGCACACCACCTCCTGTGAGGACGGAAATCCTGCCTCTGGGCCCCTGCGCCCTGCCCTGCCCCCCTTGCCTCTTTGTCCAGCTGTCCATCTGTTTGCTTTGTTGTGCCCTTACTATGTAATAAGCTGGAAAACATACGTAAGTGCTTCCCTGAGGCAAGGGGGTTCTGGGAACCCTGATTTACAGCTGGTTAGTGTGTGCGGTGGGGGCAGACCTGTGGGGTCTGTGCTGACTCCTGGCAGAGTGTGTCAGAACCCAGCTGAATTGTGGGACCCCACTAGGGTCATGGGGTTGGTGGGGGGGGGGCGGCGGGAAATGGTCAGTGTTTCTTAGGCAGCCCACAGGGTGTGTCTTCCAGATTTGTGCTGTTTTTCTCTCATTCTTATTAGTTGTGCAGAATGTGATGCACCTGCACTGAATTAAACATTGTACAGTTTAAGTATTGTGATAGTAATTGTGCTAAGTTCTCTGCATGTCATTTCCTTGCTTTGCTCAGAGTTTTCTCCCTTATGTGTGTGTCCCTGGACAGTCTTGCTTGCTTCTGGTCATCTGCAGCAGCCGCTGTCACTCTGCCATGGGAAAGGGCCACCATGACTCGTTCATTTCCGTCGCCAACAGGGGTGTGTTGTCTGTCTACACCAGGGTTCCTTTATCCATTGGACTGTTGCTGGACATCTGGCTTGTTTCCCACCTGGGGCATTTATGTGCCACCATGTATAGGAGGGCGGGCCACTGTGGTGGGAGTGGGAGCAGCCTCAGCTTCCCCATGGCTGTGTCCTCGCTGGCCATGTCCTCACGAGTGGTGTCCTCTTGGGCTGTGGCCACCACAGGGCTGCTATGGCTTCTGCTTCAAGCAGCAGCCCCGGGGCCTCCCTGCCTTCCCTCTCCTCTGTGTGGAACCTTTTGCTGACTCCGTGAAGCTCTCTCTTCAGGGTTTGGGCCTCTTTCTGTGCATCTGTTCCCTGACTTGGGGGAGTTTTCA